GCATGAATGCCAATGAGGGAAAGCACTTCTGAGGTATTGTGGACATCTAAAAGTGTGTGGTGTGTGCAGTATGGGTGTGTGCAGTATGGGTGTTTGCAGAATGGGTGTTTGCAGTGTGGGTGTGTGCAGTATGGGTGTGTATGTGTACAAGAGAGAAAAATAATGCATGTGTCCATGCATGTGTGTATACGCGTGTGTTAGAAAGATTGAATGTGTACGTGCATATGTATGTGTGTTAGAGCAGACAAGTGTGCATGTGTGTATACGTTTGTGTATGTGTGTGTCAGCGGGGAGGAAGCTGAGAAGCAAATAAGACATGAATCTGTGTTTCAGAAGTGCATGTGAAATCTTCAGCGTTCCCCCTAGGTTACAGACCCTGAGAGAGAGAGAGAGAGAGAGAGGCCACACCTGGACACAGTAAGACGCATGTGAAGAATCACAACAAAGAGGAAACGACAACCCAATTAGACTCTGCTGTTCACTGCTCGTCCTGCCGCCACAGCTGGTCTTTGTCTAAAGCCCAACAGCACTATACTCCCTGAGCTGTATGTTAGTGTTTCTCAGTTGAATCCCATAGCACTGCACCTATCAACCATTGGTAATCTTGTGCCATTGTTTATAATGTTTATGACTGCCTATGACAGATGTTATGTCTAGCTTTTGCAATGATCAAAATGCTATCTAATACTTTCTTAGCATAATAATTATTTCTAATGGTTTAAACGGTTAGTCACTCTGTTGTCCTCCATTTGACAAGAATTCCTATGAGTAATTATGATGCCATCTTGATGCTTAGGAATGATTGGGGTGGGCAGGGAGGGACTGCTGGAAGAAACTCGATACTGTTCAGTGATTTTCGCACTGCTGTGAACTGTGATATCATCAGTTAGTGGAGCATTTATCTCTCCAAGCACAACTCTGTCTCAATCACAGGAAGTGCCCGTTTAGCTTCAAAACATGTTATTTTCAACAGCCTATATTCTCCATAAAGGACCAGAATGCTGCTATGGATGGTATCCTATAGACGTGCCTAAGAATTGGTTTGCAAATCTCTGTCTATGAGTGAGAAGGTTGTTGCGTACTGCAGTTGGAGATATATTGTTGCATATTGCATATAAATAGTTTCATGTAAATAGTTAATTGCATAACCCATATTGCAATGTATTAGTTTCAAGTTTTAATGTCAAATGCACAAGTGCAGTGAAATGCCTTTCTTGCAATCTCAAAACCCAACAATGCAATAATCAATAACAACGTATTACTAGAAAAAAAGAAATAAGAATAAGAAATTTGAAATACACAATAAAGTAAGTAAGTAAGCATACCATATGCAGGAAATATTTAAATAGTCAGTTCCAATACCATATTTACATGCGCAGGGATACTGGAGTGATGGAGGTAGATATGTATAGGGGTAAGGGGACTAGGCAACAGGATATAAGATAAACAGAGTAGAAGCAGCTTGCATGTGAGTGGGTGTGTGGGTGTGTACAGTCAGTATAAATGTATGTGCATATTATGTGTGAGTGAGAAAATGATGGAGTGAATGTTTGTGTGTGTTTTGGAGTGACAGTGTGTGTGAGTGTGTAGGGCCCTGTGAGTGTGCATAGAGACAGTGCAAATATTGAAATAAAAGGTCAATAAAGATACAAGGTAAACTCGGTGATAGAAGGTGTTCAAGAGCCTGTTGGTGTCAGACTTGATGCACCAGTACCTCTTGCCATGCGGCAGCAGAGAAAATAGTCTATAGCTTGGGTGGTTGGGGTCTTTGACGATTTTCCGGGCCTTCTTTTCACACCGCCTGATATGGATGGCAGGGAGCTCGGCCCCAGTGATGTACTGGGCTGTCTGCACAACCCTCTGTAGCGCCATGCAATTGAGGGCGGTGCTATTGCCATACAAAGCAGTGATGCAGCCAGTCAATATGCTCTCAATGGTACAGCTGTAGAACCTTTTCAGGATTTGAGGGCCCATGCCAAACTTTTTCAACCTCCTGAGGGGGAAGAGGCACTATCGTGCCTTCTTCACGACTGTGCATGTGTGTCTGGACTATTTTAAGTCTTTAGTGATTTGGACACCGAGGAACTTGAAGCTGTCTACCTGCTCCACTGCCACCCCGTCGATGTGGATGGGGGCGTGCTCGCCCCCCCATTTCTTGTAGTCCACGATCAGCTCCTTGGTCTTGCTGATGTTGAGGGAGAGGTTGTTGCTCCGGCACCACACTGCCAGATCACTGACCTCCTCCCTGTAGGCTGACTCATTGTTGCCGGTGATCAGGCCTAGCACCGTCTTGTCGTCAGCGAACTTGATAATGGGGTTGGATTCGTGCGTGGCCATACAGTCGTGGGTGAACAGGGAGTACAGGAGGGGACTAAGCACACACCCCTGTGGGGCCCCTGTGTTAAGGGTCATGTGGTGGAGGTGATGTTGCCTACCCTCACCACCTGGGGTCGGCCCATCAGGAAGTCCAGGATCCAGTTGCAGAGGGAGGTGTTCAGACCCAGAGTCCTAAGCTTGGTGACGAGCTTGGAGGGGATAATGGTGTTGAAAGCTGAGCTGTAGTCAATGAACAGCATTCTTACATAGGTATTCCTCTTATCTAGGTGGGTGAAGGCAGTGTGGAGAGCAATTGAGATTGTGTCACCTATGGATCTGTTGGGGCGGTATGCAAATTGGAGTGGGTCTAGGGTGGCTGGGATGGTGGTGTTAATGTGTGCCATAACCAGCCTCTTAAAGCACTTCATGATTACAGAAGTGAGTGCTACAGGGCGGTAATCACTGTGGCATGAAGCCTTAGAGTTCTTAGGAACAGGGATGACTGTGGTCATCTTAAAACATGTGGGGATTACAGACTGGGACAAGGAGAGGTTGAAAATTACTGTGAATATATATGCCTCCCAGCTGTTCTGCGCATGCACTGAGAACACACCCTGGAATACCGTCGGGGCCCACGGCCTTGCGGGTGTTGACCTGATTAAAGACCTTTCCCACGTCGTCCTCGGAGAGCGAGATCACCCAGTCCTCTGGGTCGGTGATGGCCCTCACACCCGCCTCGATGCTGTTGTTTTGAAAGCGTGCATAAAATGCATTGAGAACGATGTGTTGTACATTGCAGTCGTATCCAACGTGATCATTTGAGAATAGAACTGACCCCCCATTGGTTCAGGCTCAGATGATGCCAGAGTCTCCCTCTCACTCTCAAGGTGAGAAGCATCATACCAGAACAAACTGACTCAAACCTCCCACATCCTTTTAATACTGTTCATACTCCTTCCATCTCTCTTTCCTTTCCAGCACCCTATCTGTGCACACACTCCCTCTTTTTTCCTCCTCATCCGCAGACTCCTTTTCGTTCCCTTCTCAGTCAATCTCTAGCAGTTACTCTTCTGGACAGTTATTACAAATGTATATTCATGGAGTACTAACAACGTGCCATTCTAGCTTATCTCCATAGCTTTTCACAGTAAGAAATAGAGAGAAATGCATTCAGTGCTTTTGTTGGAGAATAAAATGACAGCACACTCATGCAGCATAAGAAAATCATACTGTTATTGTTTTTCTCAATGGGAGTGGCAAATAAATCTGTTTTGGAAACTTCTCTCTCAACATCTCTCTCAAGGTTTGATAACATTTACGTAATATCACGCTTCGATTAACACAGATTAACAGCAAAAAGAAAAGGCGAATTGCGTTATTCCCTTGTAATTTAAATAATTTATTTTCCACTAGAGTACCACAACAATAATGTGTTACAATACATCATAGTGGGTCAACAACAACAAAAACATGATCATCATAAACAACAACAACGAAAAATAAAAGCTCTATCATGACAATATTGGTGCCTCGCTCCTCTTCCTGGTTTTCCAGGAAGTCCACTGCCGCGGGTGCCCAAAGTGGGGTGGGGTTAGGGGCGGGGTACTGTCACCTACACTTCCTGATCTAAGTCACATCATCAACACTCCTCATTTAATAAGGGGGAAGTAACGACTAATAAAAAAGGTTAAAAAAAGGTAGAATCAAAATAGCGTCAGTGCAATTCTTTGTATCCAACAATTTTTATTCCTACAAATGACATAAACCTATGACTGAATAATGGCTTTACACTTTGAGGGAGGCGGACGAGACAAAGCTTTTCGAATGCGAATGAGCAGATACAACGCTGGTGTCCATAGAAACTACTGCACACCTGTAAATATGACCTTTTGACCTAAAGTAACCTCAGACCTAATGGAATGGTCTCATAGGTCCATGGAGAATCTCTGAACCAGGTCACATCTACTGTCCATTCTCACCAATTGTATCCCTTCTCTCTAATAATCACTACAACACCACTACAGCTCCCTAACTACTATACCTCCCCATTCCCATACAACTGCATCATATAGACAACGACAACTCTACCTTTAATTCTACTCAGAACAATCCAAAATATCCACAGAAATCTCTGTTAAATGTGTGTTCATGATGACATCACTTCCCTTGTGTAGTTGATGGAATCACATATTTTCCTGTACCTTTTATCACTGTTGAGCTTCCGAAAGCATTCAAGATTCAGTGCACAAGGTAAACAGAACTCAACACTACTTTGGGACACTTTTGTAGTTTAGTTTTTTTGTTATCGAAATGTCAGGACTGTTCGTTCCAACAGTCTGAATATGTTGCCTGCTGCAAGGTTTGGGATGCGTGTGTGTTTTTTAATGAGTATGCCTGTGTGAGGATGAGTCTCTGTTGAAAAGGTAGACATACTAGGTGCGCCTATTTTCTTTCTTTCTTTCTCTCTCTCTCTCTCTTAAAGTCTCCTAGCCTCTTTCTGCCTTACGTGGCTGTTACAGCACATATAAACAGCATATGGGATGTGATTATAACGTTACTATGTTATAACATATTAGTAAACTGACATTGGGAAGTGGATTCATCCACCACTTCTCGAGAGAGTTGAAAACGAGTTGGGTGCTAACCATAAAACACTGGATTTTAAATAGGCAATACAATTATCAGAAATCTAAACAAAATAGAAAATTACAATCGTTTCAAAAGGATGCAAAAACGAGACAAACAAAAACAAGGAGATGGCTTTGAATGTTGAAAACGGGGGGGTCGTCTTTGTTTCTCAGACGTATTATTTCACATATAGACACTTATACTTTTTTCCAGTGTTTGTCATACTCTTGCGTCTTTGTGTGACAAGTGTGTGAGGTGAGGCATGTTGACAGGGCCTTTCTAAACACAAAAACACAGGCACGCCTGTACAAAAGCCACAGCTGTGTGTGTGTGTGTGTGTGTTCGCCCGTGTGTGTGTGTGTGTGTGTGTGTGTGTGTGTATGGTTGTTTCGGGAGACATGTTTTCTGTACCTAGACCTGCTCAGCACCTTTTCAACTTGCTTGTAGGAGATCAAATATGTCTGTACAATAGTGCAGGTGAGTGATAGTGTGACTGACTGTGTGAATGTACAGTATGTGTTTGTCGAAGAATGTGTGTATGTGTGTGTGTGTGTGTGTGTGTGGGTGGCTAGGTGCATACACATGTGCATATGTGTATGCATGTGTGTGTGACTGAATGTGTGTGTATGCAAGTGGGTATGTGTGTGACTGAATATGCACGTGTGTATGAATGTGTATGACTGAATGTGTGTTGCCTTGTAACAGTTCCCTAGCTGCACTTGCAGGACTTGACGATCATGTTGGAGAGCTGCTCTATCTTGGGGGTTCTTGCCGATGTAGTAGAGGATGGTGAGAGGCTCCAGATCCTGAGACACACAGCAGGGCGATGCTGACGCCTCCGGGTTGATGGTGTTGTACAGGCCTAGCACCTGAAGTGAAGAATCACACACAGAGGTAAAGTATGAGGCTTGATGTTGACAAAGGCAATGGTCTTTGACCAGTGCTGCTTGAAACTATTAAATAAAATAAAAATGATCTCTTTATCGCAATGAAACACAGAGCCAATGAAACCAGGGCTAGAGGTGACCCTGAATGAAACAGTACAGGGCCAATACTTTTCTTATTTCAGACTCTACAGAGGAATGAGACGATCTACAGAAGAACTCTACTGCACAATGCTGCCACAATGACCGCTACTCCACACTGCTACTCTCACCACTGCTCTACACCACCACTCAGACCTCTGCTGGCTCTAAACCAATCCCTTTGGATTATTTAACCTTTGACCCTTGAATTCTCACCTTGGAATGCTGTGTGTCAGCGCTCCATAGATAGGGACAGGCCCCGGCGCAGAAGTTAGCGTTGTAGCCCTTGGGCTCGTGGATCCACCTCCAGCCCAGATCCTTCTTGAAGTCGATGTAGAGCGACCGCAAGCAGCAGTTATCCTGGACATTTCTGTGTGTAGGAAGACAGAGAGCGTTAGGAGTGAGGGATGGATACGGTTCTGTGGGAGCCACACGTGTGTGTGTTTGTATGTGTGTGTGTGGGTGTGTTTGTAAGAGAGAGTGAATACATGCATAGCTGTGAGCGGAGAGAGTTCTGCAATAAGAACAATTGCCAAGTGTGTATGTGTGTCACTGAGAGGGTGAGCTGCTGACAGAGAAGGTAACTATTTACTAGGTATGTACAGTATCTATTAGGTGTGTGTGTGTGTGCATGCGCACATGCTTGTGTGTGTGTTGAGTTCCCGCCAGCAGAGTGGAGTCAGTAGGGGTCAGTACCTGGAGCAGAAGGCAGCGTCCAGGGCTCGTTTGGAGCGGTGGCTCTTGTGCTGGGACTCCAGGCGGTAGGAGGGCAGCAGCATCATGAGCAGGTGGGGAGCCTGGGCGCTGTGGCGCCGCTTCCTATACACCTTCAGGTCTCCGCTGTGGTGGAAGCTGTCATCTATACCTGTCAATCATACACATACATATCATCAATATCCATCATGTTCATACAATGTCAAATCAAGTGTGACATTAAAAAGTGGAAATTACATATTTTTGAAGCCTTTTAAAACCTTGAATACACTAAAATGTGCATTTACTGCTGCACAGGACAATTCTCTGCGACAACAGAGTGATCAAATTAAGATAGAACATCTGTGTAGGACCCATAGGGCTCTGGTCAAAAGTAGTGCACAATATAGTAACTAGTGTGCCATTTGGGACACAACCAATATCATCTGTACCAGTGAATCACACAAACTGCATATCTGCTACTTACTGCACTTCTTGCCAAACACATTGTTGCATAACTATTAATGTCAGTTAGCTACATATGAATACAAGTAAAATACAATGTACTGCCTTTACCTCTCAATTTACAGATGTTCTACCTTAATTTGACCACTCTGTTGTCGCAGAGAATTTTCCTGCGCACCAGGAAATGAAAACTGTAGTGTTCAAGGTTTAAAAAGGCTTCTAAAGTTTGTAATTTGCACTTTAAAATGTCAGACTTGATTTGCCCGAACAAAAAATGTATCAACCCCTTCAAAAATGTCCATAATAATTCAAATGTCCTGTTGCTGCAGGATTATTTTCCTGCTGTGAGAAACTGGTCAAATTAAGATAGCATCTGTATACCTGTAGAGTAACACACATATCCTGTCCAATACATACCTGCAAAGCGGGTTTCCAGCTCCTCACTCTTATTAGGGGATGATGTAGTTGTTTGAGGGCACAAATGTGCAGCACGGACAGTGCAAGCTGATCTTGAATCCACTGTTTCTGTCTGGGGGGAAAAATAGACAGGATTGTTCATCCACAACAGGCCAATGAGATTTCAGCATCACGTATGATCAGTGATTCAGCTGTAGTATAGGAGGTCAAAACCTCCACGTCCTACCTCTGTGAAGCAACCATTCACTGACTGCCTCTGTCACGTCAAAAGACAGCCACTCCCCCTCCGTGCGCGTGCGCACCACCTTGCTGTCGATGTAGCGCTGCGTCGGGGACGCCAAGTCCTTGTGACTCAAAATCTGTGGAAACACATCAAGCGCACGTGTGAGTCCACATGCACAACACAAGTCCTATGTACGAGAACAACCTGGAGGGAAACTCTGGTAAGTGTCCCAGAAGTCGCTCCTGGTTCAGTTACTTGGGTCTGGTAGTGGTCCCCCCTGTCCCCCCAGTCTCCCCCTCTCCCTGATTGATTGAGCAGGTCTAGGAGGAGCCAAGCTGGGCCGGAAACAGATGCCGGACAGAGCGTTGTTATTCTGCTGTCCTTCATAACCATGTATTTATGTTGGCCATGCTCTCCTTAATGTGAAAAACACTGCTCCTCTACTCCACCACTGTCTGCTACACCACTGAGATCTACTGCTACTACAGGGAAGCCTAACGAGAGAAGCGAGAGAGGGAGGGAGAAGAGGTAGGGGAAAGGCGAGAGAGAGGCAGAGAGAGAGAGAGAGAGAGAGAGAGAGAGAGAGAGAGAGAGAGAGAGAGAGAGAGAGCGAGAGAGAGAGAGAGAGGAAAGAGAGGTTGAGACCAGTCAAAACCTCTGAAAAGTAAGCCTACAGAGACTCTTGAGATGAGAGACAGAGATGGGGGCCGATCTACCTGGATGGCTACTTACTTCAACATATCTAGGCCCTAGCTATCTTTCCTCTAGGCCCTGGCTAGTCTTCACTAGGCCCTGGTGAGTGAACCATCTCAGGGCCCGATCACTCCTCAACAGTCATGGCAAAGAGAAAACCTTTCCACTCGATAATGTATAGTATCACTGTATCTCTGAAAAATACATAATTATGATAGGCTAAATTCCACTCTGTATCTGCATAAGGTTTTGGGTGTCCAGTTCATGTACAACACGACTTGAATGTATTACTGAAGGTTATCAGTTGATCTCCTTGGAGAAACTCTCTCTGGTTGCACCGGCTCTATTCATCCTCCCTCACACGCTTTCAATCGCCTGTGTTTGCGTGAGAAAATCCTCCATGTTGAGCTGTGTTTAGGCCACCTGTCATTCCCCTGGCTGGACATAAACACTACCACGCCCTGGGAATGGGCTGGTGCCGAAGGCCCTACACTGTGTGGAGGCAGTAGACGCTGGGCTGGCTGGGCTGGAGCGCAGCCCCCGGAGACTCAGCACCGGGTCTAAATCACCGCTCTGCATTCCACACTCCTCTCTCCACTCACAAATAACGCTGGACTGATCCATGAGCCGCCCGGCTCCCGACACTACCGACTCACACATTACTAACAGGCCCATGCTGAGCTTCATAATGTGTGTGTGTGTGTGTGTGTGTGTGCACGCATGTACGCTCAAGTATGGCATATAGTAATTTAGTGGTAAGCATTTAGTCATCTATTTCACACTGGTCTGAAGTGGTAAAATATAGGGGATTAAAACAAAAAGTGGTATCTTTGTGGAATACCACCATAGTATTATTCATGCTGTGTCAGGTGTGCCAATGGAGACACAGTATGTATATAGTATGGAGTGGTTGAGTAAAGACTAAAGGAAAATACACACCATAATGTACATCAGCCGTGCATAGTAAATCACCTGCTGGGTGTCGATGAACGGTGGCGATTGCACATGTAGAATCGTCGGGAAATTAACAGAAAATGACAGCAGTTGTTCTGTGGTTAGAGGTGATACGATGGCCACTCACTGCTTTTAACCAATCGCTGGCATGGTCTGTTTTGACCTTAAGTGGAAATGACACTAGATCCAGCTCAGAGTGGTTAATCAACTAGGTTTTCCTCCAACTGGCTACAGATTTTCATGCGAATATTCTAAAATCCACATAAAAACAATATGCACATTTTCCCACCAGAGATGTGTTTCCATCAAATTGACTTGTTGTAGATAAAAAGCTGTGCGTGATGACATAGTGCACATAAAAATACCTTTTGCGGTTAAATTCCCATGTACCAAATAAAAAATACAAGTTCAATGGGTTTCCATTGCATTTTCAACTCTACTGATGGTTTTCTCACAAACAATGTTGCTTTATATAGCGAGTGTGCCAACTCTGGTATTGGCATGTGCGCTCTAGCCAACAGCTCACAGATACAGTGCGGTTAGGCCTAAAGCCTACATGATGAGATTATTATTTATTTGTCAAACGGCAGCCAAGCATCGATGATCATGTCACCAAAATAAGACCCTCGATATTTATTGGAAAGGAGCATCAAGCTCATCACCTTGCACTTTCTCCAACCTGTGAAGTTCATCATAATTTATTTAATCTGTAGCCTAATAAACTGCATGCTTTCCGTACAAGTCGTAGTGGGAGTACCACACAACATGTCATCGCGTGACTCCAAGTTTACTTCGATATGATGGTTATTATATCAATATTTGTGAATAATAGCATTTCCACCGACATTTCTCGCATAATTAATTATACTGACACAAAAAGATGCCACCTTGTCTAGCGTACTTTGTTTAGTCTACATTTGGAAAGTTTACCGACAAATGTTCTGTTTCCATCAGGCTGGTCGTAAAATGTTTTATCCAACATGTACTTTACTCACATAAAAAGGTTGAATTGGCCTCCCGAGTGGCACAGCGGTCTAAGGCACTGCATCGCAGTGCTAGAGGCGTTACTACAGACCTGGTTCGATCCCAGGCTGTATCACAACCGGCCGTGATCGGGAGTCCCATAGGGCGGTGCACAATTGGCCCAGCGTCGTCCGGGTTAGGGGAGGGTTTGGCCGGGGGGGGCTTTACTTGGCTCATCGCGCTCTAGCGACTCCTTGTGGCGGCCGGACGCCTGCAGGCTGACTCGGTCGTCAGTTGAACAATGTTTCCTCCGACACATTGGTGCGGCTGGCTTCCGGGTTAAGTGGGTGGGTGTTAAGAAGCATGGTTTGGCGGGTCATGTTTCGGAGGACGCATGACTGGACCTTCGCCTCCCGAGCCCATTGTGGAGTTGCAGTGATGACACATGATCAATATTGGGGAGAAAAAGGGGGTAAAATACCAATAATAATACCAAATAAAAATAAAATATTGGATGGAAACCTGGTTAGAGATGAGGACAGAAGGGAGGTTTACCTGGTACAGCTCGATCCTCTGTTCAGACACGCGGGCCTTGGGGTTCTGGAGGCGGAAGACGCGTAGCTCAGCCTTGACCAGGTTAGAGGCATTCTTCTCCATGGAGGTCACGTCGAAGGTGAGCCGTCTGTAGTACGGGTTGTAGTGCGTGGGAGAGATGACATCTGAAACACAGGAAGGAGGACGGAGTTTAGCAACACGACTGACGATTGTGTTTGTGTGTGTGTGTAAAGACAAGCCCAATCCAAATGTAATGGCTGACAGGGTGAAAATACTTTTACTCTTCCCCAGTTTATTTACTCACTGTATTCAGTTGAGAGGTCATAAAAGGCTAAATGACGTTCAGGCTCATCTTCTCAAATTCTCATAGGTTCTCTATCAGAAACCACAGCAGTTTTCAAATAGCTCACACCCCAGATTAGAATTGATGCCATTCGCTCTCTTGCAATGTTCAGACACACACGTCTCCCTGTCTCTCGGGTCACTTGGGGTAATGCTGCAGTACATATGGTTCCTATAGGAACCCGGTACTATGGTAACGCTCACTGAATACTCCCGAACATGTGTGTAGCTCTGTGTAAGTATCTGATACGGGACCTGCACAGTAGTACTGTAACACTCACACACTACTCAAAACCATGTGTGGTGGAAGCGTGTGTTTGACAGAAGCTTACACAGTAGAACCGGGTGACGCACTTAGCACTGACAACCCTGTGTGTAGTGGTGCGCCTGACAGCCAGGCTCGGGCGCAGAAAGTAATGCAACAACCGTAATGCTGGGATCCATGTGTGCGGCGGTGTGTGTTTGACAGTTCCCTACACCACTGTGTATTAGGAGACCCAGAGCCTTAAATTGATGGCTGCAACTTTAGGCAGAAGCCCAGGATTAGCCAGCCACCGTGGTTTGTTTAAAGAGAGTATACAACCGCAACGACCATCAAGACAGGAGGGAGGGGGAGGAGAGAAGGGGGAGAGAAACTGCTAAGCAGTTGTACTTGGACCAGACCTAAAAGGACAACTACAGCCAAAATACCATTTACTTTACTAAACACTGAAATAAATTAGTTATCTCAAATATTACTTGATATATATTACTGCACTGTCGGAGCTAGAAGCACAAGCATTTCACTACACCCGCAATAACGTCTGCTAAACACGTGTATGTGACCAATAAAATTGGATTTGATTTGAATTATAATAGCTTGTGTGTGTGTGTGTGCGGTTTGTGTGTGTGTTAAACAAAAAGCTGTGACAATGCTCTTGTGCCAGAGGGAGCATGTGTGAGGTGACTGTGTCTAATGTGACCTGATCTTCTTAGTGAGATTCACACTCAGGTCTCTCACAGGCACCTACCAAATACCCGTCCCAGCATCATGTTTCAGAGCAGTTCCAGTCTATCAATCTTTTTTCTCTCTCTCATTTTCTCTCTCTCTGTATTTCTCTCTCTCTGTGTGTTGCGCCAGTGACCAATGGTCTGGGCGCGCCAACACTAACCCTTCTCTGTGTGACCAGAGAGTCAGATGAGCCAAGACTAACTACGCTCTTGCTCGCTTCCTTCCCATCCGTCAACAGAGAAAGTCACACTTCCAAGTCCCAATGGGCCAGCTTAAGGCTGTGTGTAACTTCTACACAGCGGTGCTGCCTCATGAATGAGGCCGCTGTGCTTAACACAACACTGGCTGCATTGACCGAGGGCACAGGGAATAGTGCAGCTGGACTAACCACAATGAACACACACTCACCTACTGTACAGGTCTGGATATCCATTCGCACACATACAATCTATTTGGATACACTTCAAACAGACATACAGTGAGGGAAAAAAGTAATTTGATCCCCTGCTGATTTTATACGTTTGCCCACTGACAAAGACATGATCAGTCTATAATTTTAATGGTAGGTTTATTTGAACAGTGAGAGACAGAATAACAACAAAAAAATCAAGAGAAACGCATGTAAAAAAAATTATATATTGATTTGCATTTTAATGAGGGAAATAAGTATTTGACCCCTCCGCAAAACATGACTTAGTACTTGGTGGCAAAATCCTTGTTGGCAATCACAGAGGTCAGACGTTTCTTGTAGTTGGCCACCAGGTTTGCAGTTGGCCACCAGGTTTGCACACATCTCAGGAGGGATGTTGTCCCACTCCTCTTTGTAGATCTTCTCCAACTCATTAAGGTTTCGAGGCTGACGTTTGGCAACTCGAACCTTCAGCTCCCTCCACAGATTTTCTATGGGATTAAGATCTGGAGACTGGCTAGGCCACTCCAGGACCTTAATGTGCTTCTTCTTGAGCCACTCCTTTGTTGCCTTGGCCGTGTGTTTTAGGTCATTGTCATGCTGGAATACCCATCCATGACCCATTTTCAATGCCCTGGCTGAGGGAAGGAGGTTCTCACCCAAGATTTGATGGTACATGGCCCTGTCCATCGTCCCTTTGATGCGGTGAAGTTGTCCTGTCCCCTTAGCAGAAAAACACCCCCAAAGCATAATGTTTCCACCTCCATGTTTGACGGTGGGGATGGTGTTCTTGGGGTCATAGGCAGCATTCCTCCTCCTCCAAACACGGCGAGTTGAGTTGATGCCAAAGAGCTCCATTTTGGTCTCATCTGACCACAACACTTTCACCCAGTTCTCCTCTGAATCATTCAGATGTTCATTGGCAAAATTCAGACGGGCCTTTATATGTGCTTTCTTGAGCAGGGGGACCTTGCGGGCGCTGCAGGATTTCAGTCCTTCACGGCATAGTGTGTTACCAATTGTTTTCTTGTTGACTATGGTCCCAGCTGCCTTGAGATCATTGACAAGATCCTCCCGTGTAGTTCTGGGCTGATTCCTCACCGTTCTCATGATCATTGCAACTCCACGAGGTGAGATCTTGCATGGAGCCCCAGGCCGAGTGAGATTGACAGGTCTTTTGTGTTTCTTCCATTTGCGAATAATCGCACCAACTGTTGTCACCTTTTCATCAAGCTGCTTGGCGATGGTCTTGTAGCCCATTCCAGCCTAGTGTAGGTCTACAATCTTGTCCCTGACATCCTTGGAGAGCTCTTTGGTCTTGGCCATGGTGGAGAGTTTGGAATCTGATTGATTGATTGCTTCTGTGGACAGGTGTCTTTTATACAGGTAACAAACTGAGATTAGGAGCACTCCCTTTAAGAGTGTGCTCCTAATCTCAGCTCGTTACCTGTATAAAAGACACCTGGGAGCCAGAAATCTTTCTGATTGAGAGGGGGTCAAATACTTATTTCCCTCATTAAAATGCTAATCAATTTATAACATTTTTGACATGCGTTTTTCTGTATTTTTTTGTTGTTATTCTGTCTCTCACTGTTCAAATAAACCTACCATTAAAATTATAGACTGATCATTTCTTTGTCAGTGGGCAAACGTACAAAATCAGCAGGGGATCAAATACTTTTTTCCCTCACTGTACATACCCCACCAGACACGCCACAACGGGTTTCTTCACGGTACTCTGCCACCAGAGATTACTCAAGCAAAGTTTAGCTTTAAAAAACAGATAAAAAATACATTGTGTATCACAGTGCCTCTTCTTTCTAAAGACCTAATCTAACTGTACTGTATATAAGAATATGAATATGTATATATGAAGTGTGTAAATAGTATTTTTTGTTGTCTCCTTGTGTCTTTCCTAACTCTTTTTTAATTTAAAAATATTTATTTTCAATTTAATGTGATATCTTATGTTGTTCTTGTCTATAACTGTTCTTTATTTCGTTATGTACAGTGGGGAAAAAAAGTATTTAGTCAGCCACCAATTGTGCAAGTTCTCCCACTTAAAAAGATGAGAGGCCTGTAATTTTCATCATAGGTACACGTCAACTATGACAGACAAAATCAGATTTTTTTTCTCCAGAAAATCACATTGTAGGATTTTTTATGAATTTATTTGCAAATTATGGTGGAAAATAAGTATTTGGTCAATAACAAACAAGCAAGATTTCTGGCTCTCACAGACCTGTAACTTCTTCTTTAAGAGGCTCCTCTGTCCTCCACTCGTTACCTGTATTAATGGCACCTGTTTGAACTTGTTATCAGTATAAAAGACACCTGTCCACAACCTCAAACAGTCACACTCCAAACTCCACTATGGCCAAGACCAAAGAGCTGTCAAAGGACACCAGAAACAAAATTGTAGACCTGCACCAGGTTGGGAAGACTGAATCTGCAATAGGTAAGCAGCTTGGTTTGAAGAAATCAACTGTGGGAGCAATTATTAGGAAATGGAAGACATACAAGACCACTGATAATCTCCCTCGATCTGGGGCTCCACGCAAGATCTCACCCCGTGGGGTCAAAATGATCACAAGAACGGTGAGCAAAAATCCCAGAACCACACGGGAGGACCTAGTGAATGACCTGCAGAGAGCTGGGACCAAAGTAACAAGGCCTACCATCAGTAACACACTACGCCGCCAGGGACTCAAATCCTGCAGTGCCAGACGTGTTCCCCTGCTTAAGCCAGTACATGTCCAGGCCCGTCTGAAGTTTGCTAGAGTGCATTTGGATGATCCAGAAGAGGATTGGGAGAATGTTTTATGGTCAGATGAAACCAAAATAGAAATAGTAAAAACTCAACTCGTCGTGTTTGGAGGACAAAGAATGCTGAGTTGCATCCAAAGAACACCATACCTACTGTGAAGCATGGGGGTGAAAACATCATGCTTTGGGGCTGTTTTTCTGCAAAGGGACCAGGACGACTGATCCGTGTACAGGAAAGAATGAATGGGGCCATGTATCGTGAGATTTTGAGTGAAAACCTCCTTCCATCAGCAAGGGCATTGAAGATTAAACATGGCTGGGTCTTTCAGCATGACAATGATCCCAAACACACCGCCCGGGCAATGAAGGAGTGGCTTCGTAAGAAGCATTTCAAGGTCCTGGAGTGGCCTAGCCAGTCTCCAGATCTCAACCCCATAGAAAATATTTTTAGGGAGTGGGCCAAAATACCAGCAACAGTGTGTGAAAACCTTGTGAAGACTTACAGAAAACGTTTGACCTGTGTCATTGCCAACAAAGGGTATATAACAAAGTATTGAGAAACTTTTGTTATTGACCAAATACTTATTTTCCACCATAATTTGCAAATAAATTCATAAAAAATTCTACAATGTGATTTTCTGGATTTTTTTTTCTCA